TACTGTCCCACATACATAAAAAGCAACAGTATTTAGTGTACCCCAGTTGCATTCCTAAGAGTACAGCAATGACTTTTAGATCGCCACATATTTTCCACTTGTGCTCAGCATAATTGATTGAGTCAAGGAGGGCTGTCATGTTTGCATAAATATATATTCTATAATAGAGTGTAGTTTTATTATATGCTGATCTGAGGAGTTTTACAGAAAAAATGCCAACAAAAATTTTAAATAATTGAAGATGCATATATTTTTTATAATGAAATATTTTTTTTACAAATTTTACTATAAAAACCTCTCTCATATTTTGTATTATTTAGATTATGTCAATCATTTTAAATTATAATTTAAAATAAATCTAAGTTTTAAATCTTTTGCAGACCATATTTTAGCTCTTGCAAACCACTGGTTGTCCGCGGAGCACTGGTTGGGAACCGCTGCTCCAAAAGCAAGAGCTAATTGGTCATTTTTATAGTGATTTTTGAATTCAGCAGATGAAAATATATAAGAATATGCTAATTTTGAGCTCGAAAAAAAATCATTGTTGTCCAGTGTTATTTGCCTGGGTCATTTCTCAATTTTTACCAGCAGAACAAAAGATGTGGACTTTATGGACAAGGTAGGACGTGCCATGTACAGATTTTAGCCATGCTGCTAAAGACGTTATATTAGGGTTATCGTTACATCCGATAATGTTATAATCAGGTTAAACTGTATATTGTTTGTGCAAAATAAAAAGATAATTTCAGATGATACAATAGCCATGATTATTTTTTCAAAAATGGGAAATTTTCATTAGGCATTGACAAAAATTCAACCCGGGCCGACACGCAATGGAAAGAAATTTCAACATAGATAGATTAATTTCACCAAAAATGCATCATGGACAACCTTGTGGACATGTCCGGCAAAGTCTGAACAATCGTGCTCAAAACCAGCGATACTGAAGAAGATTGGAGAATGAGAACGAGACCAGCCTTGAGTGTCAAAGTGATTCCGCTTAGTAGTGAGTCTCTGAGACATAGTCTTGTCCCAAATACAGCTTTGCCGTTTTACTTGTTTACTTTGAAATTAAATATATATATTACAGGCACAAATATTAATTAGATAAAATTAAATAACTTACTGGAATACAAATACTTAAAATAATCAAACACCTTAGTATTTTCTGCAATGAAGTATTTAATAAAATAAAAATAAAATAATAACGTTTTTGACTATATTTAATAGTCTTCTTCAGTTAAGCCACTTTAAAACAAAAACGAACGTAAAATAGAACGCAAGCAATACAACGATTTAAAAATTGAAAATTAATTACGACAAAATAAAATAAAACGTAAAAACAAAATTAAATTACAATAAAATATTAAGAAAATTAATCATGGTAAAGAGTAAAATTAAAGTATTAAGAAAATTAATCGTCATGGTAAAAAGATTTCCATGCGAAAGATAGACTTTCTGCGTCTCTATTGTTGATGCATCATTTGTTAATATGGGCCTTCTAAATTTCAAGTTTTTCAATATGTTTAAGTATTTGTTTGTTGGTGGCTGTCCTAATTATGGATGCTTTGTCCCAATGTACATTAATATCTTGATGTTTAGTGAAGGCTGCAAGGACAGTACTGTCCACATTTTTAGTAATAGAATACTTATGTTCTTTAAGCCTCTGTTTTAAAAGTCTCATAGTGGCACCAACGTAAACAAGATCTGAATTAAAATGGCAGTCACTTAAAGGAATAGAATAAACTCCTGTACTATTGTTAAGGTTTCCTTTCTTCTTATCATTTCGTAAAATTCTATAAATCGTAGGATAAATAACACAAATTATTCTTATGAAATAATTTTTTAATCAATCATCGATTGCAGGAAAGGTATATAGGTGAGAACTACTCTTTGTCCTTGGTTCTTAGTTGTAGGTTGCTTATTTGTTTGATTACAAAATTTAGCAATAAGAGCATTAATTTCACTTATACGATATCCCTGTTGTGCAGCTATTGTACATATGTAATTTAATTCTCTATGTGTGTCAAACATACTATTATTTTATTATTATTTTATTAAATACTTCGTTGCTGGAAATACTAAGGGGTTTGATTATTTTAAATATTAGTTAGTTTTTCTAAATAGAAGCTAGAGCCAAAAATATATTATATAAAATATTTACGCCATGTTGGAGCTGACATGTAAAAAGTAGTATAGTTGACATGCTTAGCCAAAGTATCTGCACCCAATCGCAAGGCTCCAGTTCCACTAAGTGTCTGTACACCAAATGCCTGAAAATAAATATAAAATAAATTATAAAAATTTTTAATTCATAGAGAAATACCATTATAAATTATAATAAAGTGTTCTACATAAAATTAGCCCACTAACTGATTGAATAATATATTGTAATCTTCAGTTTGGAGAATGAAAGGGACAAATGAGACAAACTCCTTAATTCTGTTTTAATTTAATAAAATCTGAATTAAAATTTTAGATTGGTCTGAAGTAATAAAGCCACTATCTTATGTAAACAAGAATTTGTAATTATTAATATTGAATTCAATTAGAAAATTTGATTCTATTTTCTAGAATCTTATGCAGTAGTTTAAATTTCTGTCTTAAATGACCAATAAAGCCATATGACAAGTCAAAGTAATATATTTCTGACAAAGATGATCAGATCAAAGGTTGCATTGGTAATTGCAGGTTAGAATCCTACTCCTGATTTATATTCTCAACAGGAATTTTCTACATTGCTTAGTTAAATTCAAAATTAACTTCTTAATTTAAATAAATATTTAGCATTCATCATATACTTTAAAATCATCCAATAATTTAGTCATATTTCACAATAAGATTTAAACATTAAAAAAACACATACAAAATATAATAGAAAAAAAAATACCACACACTTAGCCACTAGTGGATGATTTTAAGTCAACATTTGCCAACCTTTCTGACCTCAAGGACCACTAAACTAATAATTTTGAATCCTGTATCATAAATTTTTCTAAATGACACAAACATCTATTAGAATAATGATGACAAAAATTCCATTTACTTTATTTTACTTTATTAATGTGAAATTCACTCATTTAATTATAAAAAATAAGTGTGATGTTTACTTATGAAGACAATTGAACTCACATTATTTATTGTTAATTACAGTCGACCCCCCTATAACACTGTTGCTTATTCCGTTTTATATGAATTCCATGTTGTACGAGTCACTTAGATTTTACAAATACGTGTGCTGGGCTGTGAACGGCTCATGTATTTGTAAAATCTAAGTGACTCGTACAAGTATTTGTAAAATCTAAGTGACCCATGGAATTCATATAAAACAGAATAATCAACTGTGTTATAGGGGGGTCGACTGTAGTTATTGACACTTAGTGATAAGTTATTTCATGTTTGGTTTTAGATTCAAATAAAAAAACCCCCAATGAGTGAGGTAAAGCAACTGAGTATTTTGTATTTTTTTTGTAATCCCACCAAAATTTTCTTGCAGATTAGTGACTTAATGTAAGTAACTGGTATAAAAAAGTCACTAAACAGTGATTGGTAAGATGCAAACCCATAACTATGGACCTTTTTTTTACCGTCCTCAGTGTCCACAGAGCAGAAAAAGTAAAAAAGAAACAAAAATAATTTTCTTTATTAAAACTAATTTATCAAAAATATTTTCAAACTAAAAGTTATATTTAAAAATATATATAAAAACAAATTTAAATACATACATAAGTTTAATTATATAATATGTAAAATGAAATTCAAAAATGATATTTGTTTATATCCAGAAAACAATTTACAAGCTAACTATCTTGTGGTTGAACATTTATTAAGATTAAAAAGAATAGATGAACATATTTTGATTTAATATCTCTTTGAATAAATTATTTTATCCATTCTTTTTATCTCTATGTCCTTACAAACAGAAATTGATAAGAGTATCCTTGTCAACTTGAACATTGTTTACTAATGAGAAAGGGTTGTCTGAAAGAGTTATGTAAGAGGCATGCTTTGCAGAATTCCACATCAATGTTGGAGTCAGAGGCATAGATAGCCAACACTGTTTTGGCCATCTACGCCTCCAACCCCAACATCAATATGAAGTTGTTTATTAATGGGACTTATTATACTGGTATAGTTTCTGATTAGCAAATAGAGGAGATCTTAGTAAAAAAGTCAAAATAAAGTATCATTATTTTCACTTGTATATTTTAACCTGTAAGATCTCCTCTACTTGCTAATTGGAAACTACACCAGTATAATAAGTCTTACTGTATTAATAAACAAGGTCCAAGTAGACAAAATAATTTCAATTTCTGTTTGTATCCTTATCAATTAAAATGACAATATATGCAATAAAATGGTAATATGATTATTAATGGTTAAAGAAATTGGTATTACAAATAAACTTTATTACATTAATTTTAAAATAGCTTAGTTATAATAAAAACTGGTATGATTTAATAATAATAGTAATAATAATAATCGTAATAACTAATATTTATTATTATTTTGTTCACTAGCATTTGGGATAACTACATGTACAGTATATAAGAGATTAGTTAATTATAAAAAAAATTATCAAAAAATTGGTTTTTATAAAAATAAAAACTAATTGTTTGGAATAGATAAATTCTATATCAAGAATAAAAGTACTATGAATAAAAAAAATTAGAACAGTTTTTAATTTAATTTATTGTAATTAATTTGAAATCATTTTATTCCATTTTGTATTTACATTTTTATAAAAAAAAATTATTAGTTTTGTGAAAGAGCTATTCAAAGGGGAGGTTGGGAATTTTTCCTTGGGTCTGGAGAAAAGTTAGATTCAAAGTGATATGTATCCCTAAAAAGAATCAATGTTATTTTTTACTAACAAAAAATAATCTTTAAAAATGTTTTTTATTAATGAATGAACATTCTATGTACTCCACCTTTTGTTATAAAAAACAAAAAAGCATGCTATGGGAAAAAGGGTTCATTAGGACCTAAGGCAGAATGAACCTTTTTATAAGCTCTTGACAATCCTGTATATATTACATACATAGCATCAATAAATATATGATTGATTCATTCTACTTTTCTGAAATATTTTTCTTACACGATTTTCCTTCAAGGCTACGCTATCTTCTCCCAACAGCATTCTAGTAGCAAGTTTACTGAATTCTTCCATTCCTAACTGGCTAAGATATTCATGATTTAGAGTTTCATCTTCAGCCATAGCTTTCTCTACTTTCCTCACAACAGGCAAAACCCATGGTTTTCCTTCATTAGTTCTGTAAGCTGTAAAACAAAAAAAAAAAAAAAAAAT